TGGGTTAGAAGGAAAGGGACCAAGTGCTGGCTGACTGGTTGTCAGCAGTGGTCCAGGTCTGGGCTGGCTGTTTCCAAGTTCTTGGCCCAACGAATTGAAAATAAAGGCTCACAGGCAGATCTCTATGTGTTTGAGACCAGCCTGGTTTACATAACAAGTTCTAGAACAGCCAGGGCTGCATAGTGAGATACTGTCTTAAAAAAAAAAAAAGAAAAAAAAAGAAGGGCCCATACAGATTGTAAAGAAGCAAGATAATTTATTGGAGCAGAGTGGTTGTTCAGAGTAAAGAAGGATACCCTGTCAAGATTGACCGAGGTGGGGGAGCTGGAGAGATGACTCAGTAGTTAAGAGCACTTGCTTTCTTCCAGAGGGTCTGAGTTCAGTTCCCAGAAGACCTGAGTTCAGTTCCCATCACCCACATTGGGTCACTCATAATGGCTTCAGGGGATCCAGTGCCCTCTTCTGTCTTCCATGGGCATCTACATTCACATGCACAAACCCACACAGACATACACATAGTTAAAAATAAAATATTTTATAAAAAAATTGACAGTGGGCCACAGGAGTGAGAATACTCCAGGGCCCCTGTTGTTTAGGGTTACCTTTTATGGGTTCAGGAGGAGGGCCCGGCTACTAAGGGGTGTAGTTTGGGTGCTGCTCATTTTGCTTGACAGATTAGATTGTATATTTTTCTTATTCTACATGTCCCTTCCCATAATGCATCTGATTTTAATCATATGCGTGCCCAAATATGCATAGGCACAAGATGGTAAATAGGGGATTCTTCCTAAAAGGTTATTAGAGGGCCTTCTTTCACATATACCCCAAACCAGTTCAGTCTGGATTGGTCCTTCTAGACTTCATGCCAGGATATGGAAATACACTTGAATACAAGCTGTCTCAATTTGATGGTTACCAGGAGTGGGGAAACAGACGGTTATTGAGAGATGGGTGTATGTGTGCTCCATGCAGGTGGGGGGATGAGGGGTTCTGAGGTTGCTGGGTACATCGTTTAGAGAGAGTTGTGTATATTACGTACAAGTGAAGGAGTTAGGCTGCCAAATGCATTATTGCAAGAGGGGTGTGTGCACAACCCCAAACCAGTTTGGGGGTCTCAGGATACTCAACTATTTCTTATGCTCCCCTTCCTCATGATGACCTTATGCGTTATAATTCCTGGGCTCCAGAGAATTCTGTTATCAATTGAGATTTTCATACCTGACACTTGTATTCTATAAACTGGGCAAATTCAAGAGCTGACTTTGAGTGTGACTTCTAGGGGCTAGAGAGATGGCTCAGCAGTTAAGAGCATTGGCTGCTCTTTCAGAGGACCCAGGTTTGGTCCTTAACTCCAGTTCTAGGGCATCTGATGCCCTCTTCTGACCTCTGGGCATTGCATGACACTGGTGCAGTGACACATATGCAGGCAATGTACTCATACACATAAAATTAAAATAATAAATGAAATATTTTAAAAAATTACTTCTACAGCATTCCTCTTCAGCTTGGGTTCCCAGTCCCCATGTTTAATGCTCAACAGACCTTTCTTCGTCAGTGTCAAACACTGCAGTCTCAACAAGTCCAAAACAGAATCCATTTTCTCATGGTGGCTTTCTGTCATGTCAGAGGAATGATGGTGCCAGCAGCTGAGAGAATAGGAAGCAGCGATGTCTGGGGCAGGGAAGAGATGAATTGAGATCCACGCTAATGGTGCAGAACAGTCTGTGGGGAAAGAAAGGGACTGGAAGTTGCATTGGGCAATTAGATTATTGAAATCCTTTAAGAGCAGTTTTGGCGGCGTGGAGGGCAAGCAAGCTAGATGGATGGTAGTGGGGCAGGAAGAAGTCCTTTTTAAAAAAAATGCAATTACATTTAAAAAATATTACTTTTATTTTACATGTATGAGTGTATTGCCTGAATGAGTGTAAGTGCACCCATGTCATGCAATGCCCATGGAGGTCAGAAGAGGGCATTGGATCTCCTGGAACTGGAGTTACAGAAGGTTGTCAGTCTCCACAGGAATGCTGGGAACTGAACCCAGGTCCTCTGTAAGAGCAGACAGTGCTCTTAACTGCTGAGTTTTTTGATACAAGGTCTCCCTGTAGCCCCAGCTGGCTTGGAACTCACTATGTAGACCAGGCTGGCCTTGAATTCAGAGATCTGCCTGTCTCTGCCTCCCAAATTCTGGGATTAAAGGTGTTCACCACCATGCCGTCCTTTGTAGGACTTTAAGGACAGGATCGTATCATCTGCAAGTGCAGGTAGTTTGGCTTCTTTTCTTTGAGTGTTCAAGCCAAGACTTAGAGTACTATACTGACTAAGAGTGGAGAGAGTGGGCGCCCTTATCTCATTCCAGATTTTAGAGGAAATATCCTCAGTTTTCTCCATTTAATATAACTTTGGTTATAGGTTCATCATATATAGCCTTTCTTTTTAAAAAAATTTATTATTTTAATTTTTATTTAATGAGTATGTTTGTATTGCCTGCGTGTATGTAAGGGCACCCATGTCATGCATTGCCCTTTGAGGACAGAAGAGGTTGTCAGATCCTGGAGTTATAGGCAGTTGTTAGCTGCCATGTGGGAGTTGGGATTTGAACCCAGATCTTTGAACCCAGATCTTCTGCAAGAACAGTCAGTGTTCTTAACTGCTGAGCCATCTCTCCAGCCCCCATAGATAGCCTTTCTTATATTGTATGTTCCACCTACTCCAAGTTTCTATAGGACTTTTATCATGAAGGTGTATTGTACTTTGTCACATGCCTTTTTATATCTATTGAGATGATAATCTGAATTTTTATTTTTGTACTTAAGTCTATTTCTGTGCTGGATTATATTTGCTGATTTGCATATTTTGAACCAATCTTGAATCCCTGGGATGAAACCAAATGATTTGATCTTTCTAAATTTTAAGATTTATTTTTTTATTTTATGTGTATGAGTGTTTGCCTGCATGGTGTGCATATGTACCGTATATATGCTTGGTACCAGTGGGGGCCAGAAGAGGACAACAGGCCCCTTGGAACTGGAGTTACAGGTGATTGTTAGCGGCCAAGTGAGTGCTGGGAACCAAACCTAAGTTTTCTGCAAGAGTAGACAGTGCTCTTCACTACTGAGCCATCTCTCCAGCCTCTTTAATGTGTTTTTGGATTTTGGTGAGAACTTTTGCATCTATATTCATCAGGGAAATTGGTCTGTAGTTTTCTTTTTGGTTGCGTCTTTATCTGGTTTGGTATTAGGGTAATACTAGTTTTGTAGAGTGGGTTTGGTGGTTTTCCTTCCTCTTCTATTTTGTGCAACAGTTTGAGAAGTATTGCTATTAGGCCTTTCTTAAAAGTTTGGTGGAATTGAGCAATGAATGGACATGGTCCTGGATTTTCCTTTGTTGGGGACTTTTCATGATTGCTTCAAGCTCATTGCTTGTTTTGGATCAGGTCTCCCTATGTAGTCCTGGCTGGCCTGGATCTCTCTATGTAGACCTGGCTATCATACCTGGCTTGTTTATATCTTCTTTTTTTTGTTAAATTATTTTTATTTTATGAGTATATTGTCTGCATTTATATAAGTGCACCTGTGTCGTGCAACGCCTACAGAGGTCAGAAGAGGGGCTTGGAGCCCCTGGAACTGTAGTTATAGATGATTGTTAGCTGCCATGTGGGTGCTGGGAATTGAACTTAGGTCCTCTGTAAGAGCAGCCAGTTGCTCTTAACCGCTGAGCCATTTCTCTAGCCCTGTTTATGTCTTAAGCCATCAATTTTAAGGAAGTTTACTTGAGAAGCTCAAAAGAGAGATTAAATTACAAGGAACTGCCAGGAGCCAGGTGAAGGCAGGAATGTTCAGGATGGAAAAGACTAGTGAAATTTAGGTTCTGGAGAGGGAAGGGACTGTGGGTGGAAATGGGTGCTTGGAAGAGCAGGTGGTGGGGACGGGCAATGGGGAGGAGTACCTTTGAATTAATGGAGATGCTTCTGCCTCTGAGACAGGTCACACATGTGTGAAGAGGAGAAGGTCCATCAATGAAAGCATTCTCTGCTGAGTCCCCATTGCTTACAACCCCTTATCATGGTGTGTATGTATGCATCTTCACAACCTGGATCTGTCATCTCACGTATACAGTGTGTATCAGTTAGCTTTTGCTACAGTTGTGCTGCATAACAGAACCTAGAGCTTATGTATTGAGCTGTTATTGTTCATATAAGACATTAGCTGCAAGGAAGTTGGGGCGCATGGTTTTATGGCTTTATTGTAGCCACCAGTCAACCAGGTTTGTTTCAAGTGTCCTCTTATTCTGAGACCCAGGCTGAGTAAGTTGCTTCTATATGGTATGTGTTGTTTTCATGGTGAGAACTAGAGCACGATAGGGATGATCTGATGCCCATCCAAGCTTCCTCTCTCTCTGTAGGATGCCTATCCAAGTACCCTCTCTGTAGGATGCCTCTTTAAGCTTCTTCTGTAGGATCCTTATCCGAGCATCCGCTCTATAGGATGCCCATTCAAACACCCTTTCTGCAGGATGCCTCTTTAAGCTTCTTCTGTAGTTTCAAGCATCCTTTCTCTTCTGGTATATTGTCACGTTCACTCAGTTTCCAGTAGTAACAGCCAGTCATATGGAACAAGTCAAAAGTCAGCTGAGTGTGTAGATATATACTTTGCTTGTTTTCAGGGAATCTATACTTGAAAATAATAATCTAATTTGCCATATATGGTTGTTTATTCAATAGTTTCTCCCTTATTTATCAAGGATACATTTCAAGACCCCAGATCAGTGAATGCCTGATACCTCCAGAACTCTATATGTATTGTGTTTTCCCCTGTGGGTACTTAGGGACCAAGGAAAAGGTAGACACCTTTGACTGTCACTGCAGTCAAAATCCTTTTGCCAGACTTTAAGATGACTGGGTGTTTTGATCTTTCCAAGTACATGTTCCTTTATGTGACATCTAGGACTCTGCAAGGGTTGATGCTGAACTTCCCCTTGACCTTATGCCCTCATCCCCTCAGGACCTCTACTCCAGCCTCAGAAATTGCTGCAATTCCTGGACCCCTTCCATACAGTGGGGTATGTATACTGGACAAAGGGATGATTCATGCCCTGGACTGTTTACAATGGGATGGCACAAGATTTTATCACACTAAGAATGGTACACAATTGAAAACCTATGACATTTCTGGAATTTTCCATTGAATATGTTCAGAGTGTGACTGATTGTGGATAACTGAAACCTCAATTTGTCCTTTCAGCTCTCTGTGTCTTTGTAAATAGGGTTGCTCTGTCTGGGAATTGTCCCCCACTCTTCCATTGCTGTGACAAAGTAACTTAAGAAGAGGAAAGGTAGCCGGGCATGGTGGTGCATGCCTTTAGTCCCAGCACTTGGAAGACAGAGGCAGGCAGATCTCTGAGATCAAGGCCAGCCTGGTCTACATAGTGAGCATCAGGCTAGCTGGGGCTACAGGAAGACCTTGCCTCAAAAAGAACCACCCCCACTCGCAAAAAAAAAAAAAAAAAAAAAAAGGAGGAGGCAAGGTTTATTTGGGCTTGTGGCTTCCGAGGTTTCAGTTCACACTTTGCTCTGTTGCTTGGGGCCTGTGGTGCCAGCATAGCACATTGTAGTGCATCATGGGCAGGAGCCCATGGCAGAGGAGGCTGTTCATCTCAGGTATCCAGGAAAGGACTGGGGTCACAATATCCCCAGCAACCTGACTCCTAAAGGTTCTATTTTGGAAAAATCAGAGACCAACAGCCAAGGTCTGGTGAGGAGAGGAAGTTTAATTTGACACTAGTGGGACTGACCCATGGATCAAAAGTATCAGACCCCTTGTTCATCAAGTTTTTGAGGGTTTTTTTTTTTTCCCATGTGAGGAATGCAATCAAAAGGTACACAGCATATACATGGTAATTAAGTAAGATAACATAGGGCTGCAGAGGTAATAAAAATGTAACAGAAAAGTAACAGAAATGCAAAAGCCTTGGGCAAAGTTTACAGGAATGTGATAGATTTGGAAGACTTCTATCCTGGACAAGCACAGAGGGCAGGGGAAGATTCCTGTTTACTTCCCCATTCCAGAGTTCTTAATTACCATCACTGTTGGAAAAGCTTTTAGCATCTGGTATTCCCTTCTATTTCTACAATAGTTCTATCACTTCTCAATAGTGCCAGGGGCTGGGGACCAAGCCTTTAACAGGGAGACACTTATCCAGACCCTTCCGTCAGTGGTCTGGCTTGGTCCTTCCTCTACCAGATGTTCAAATAGTCCTTCGTTCCCAGCCCCACTGCCCCCACTGGTTCAGGGGCACTCCCCCCCACTCACCTCCCCATCTCTGTACCAGTCTCATCTTCTGCAGCACATTGTCACTTCAAAGTTCCTTCTTGCTAGACACTGAGCTGATTGGGTGATCTTTCCAATTGTACATGCCATCCAGGGTTCTGCAAGAGTGGCACTCTGAATTTTGTCTTGACCTCACCCTCCTCGGAACCTCTGCTCCAGCCTCAGGAATTACTGAAGTTCCTGGGACCCTCTTTTCCCTGCTTGGAATGCTCTCCTACTCCCTCCCCAGATCCCCCTTGTAGACCTCTACTCATTCTTTAAGACCCAGCTTAGTTATTGCCCCCTCTCTGAAGTCAGTCTCTTCCTCCTGTCCTAGGTGGGTTGGGAATTCCTCCCCTCCCCACCAGCACTCTGGGCATCCTGCAGGACAAGCCTCAGCTTCCTGTCTGCAACGTCATCATTTCTTCCTCATCTGTGAGCTAATGGAGACCGGGAGTTCGCAGGACCAACCACAGAGCTCTTTAGTTGACACACACCAGTGGCTGTGGCCTGTGGTGGCTGCTGCCAGAGTCCTTAGTAATTATCAGCCCTGGGACCAGAAAAGTTAAAGTGATGGAGATTTAGTCTACCAATTGTAGACATAAGGGTCACCGTTTGTATGTTTAACCCAGAATTATTTCTGAGAGTACTTCTAGATCTAAAAAGAGGAAGTAAAGATAAATTGTCTAGATTTCCTGCCAGAGCTGAACCACTCCTGGTGCCTAGCCCCTGCTTGGAGGCTTTGGTAGTTTCCTGGACTTGGGTGTCAGCAGCTTTGAATCCAGCCTCATAAAATAGAGGCCTGGGTGGTAGCCGGGGGAGACCCAGCGCCTTGAGCTGGCATGGCATCTCTATGCCCTGTGAAAGCCCATCCATGTGTTTACAAGGAGCTTTGGTAGCAGGCATTTACTTCTCCTAGGCCATGTGTGAGTGCCAGAAATGTGTACAAAGCTGCCGTTTGGAGCAAGGTCCCACTCAGAATGAGCTGAGAGAAGGAGCCAGCAAGCCCAAGGCTGCCGAGGAGAGACAGAGTCCCTGGAGAAGGCAGGAAGGCAGTCACAGAGTTGATATCACTAGAGTTGTCGACACTATGGACTGTTTGAGAAGCAAGATCATATGAGGTGCACATAAAAACCCTGAGAAGTCAATAGAACAGAAATTATATGCCCATTTATACACAGGGAAACTGAGGCTTAGAGTGCTAATAACTAAGAATGACTGATAGTAAAAAAGCTAGGTCGTGAATCCCAGCAGTGTGGCTTAGAGCCTCTAGCTCAAAGAAGGGGTTCTGGGACAGCTGTGGAACATGGGCCTTAGGAAAAGGGCTCCTGCCTGAAAGAGAGGGCAGAGGGGAGAGGGGATTGGGAACGCTGGGAAAGAGGGACAGAGGGTTGAGATGTTAGGACTCTTTTTTAAAAAATTATTTATTATTTATTTTTTGTGTATGCGTGTATTGCCTGCATGTAGGTAAGTGCACCTGTGTTGTGCAATGCCCTCGGAGGACAGAAGAGGCTCTCGGATCCCCTGGAACTGTAGTTGTGGACAGCTGTTAGCTGCCATGTGGGTGCTGGGATTTGAACCCTGGTCTTCTGCAAGAATAGTCAGTGTTCTTAACCGCTGAGTCATCTCTCCAGCCCTCAAACTTCCTATGTAGTAGAGGATGACCTTGGACTTCTGATCTTCCCACCTGATTACAGGCTACCCTGCATGGTTTATGTGGGGCTGGGGATTAAAACCAGGTCCTACCACTGAACTACATCCCTAACTCTAGGACTAATTTTTTAAAAATATACTTTAAAAAAATTGATTTTTAGAAATATTATGCGTATGCCTGCATGTATGTAAGTGTAACATGGGCATGCCTAGTGCTCACAGAAGCTAGAAGAGGGTATTGGATTCCCTGGAAGTGGAACCTGGGTCCTCTGCAAGAGCAGTAAGTGCTCTTAACCCCTGAGTCATCACTCCAGCCCCTAGGATTAGTTTTTTTAATTTTTATTTTTTTGGGGGGGGGGCAGGGTTGTCTTGTAGCCCCAGCTGGCCTGAAACTCAATATGGCCTTGATCTCACAAGAGCTCTGCCTGCCTCTTCCTCCTCCTGAGTGCAGATTAAAGTGCCTCCTGAGTGCTGGGATTGAAGATGTGTGCCTCCACACCCAACTCTACTAATTCTTAATGAGGTTTTGTTCCATCAAAGTGTGTATGGACTCCTCGGGGAGCTTTGCCTTAGAGGCCTGGGCTGGGCTTTCCCACAGGTTGGGCCACTGGAAAGGGCTATGGGCAGAAAGTGTGGTCGTGTTCCACCCAGTTCTAGTGCTGCCAGCTGTGGTCCTGGAGGATCCTCCATTTCCCTGCTAGTCAAATGACACAGCACACAAATTGATCACACTTCTCCCCGGACAACACCTGCATGTAAACTAAAAGCCAGGGAAGAGAAGTTTGAACCCACAAGGAAGTGAGTTCTTAAAGTAAAACCCACAGAGAGGAAGTGGCTGTTGTTCCCAGAGGAATCTCAAATTGTCATCTCTCTTTTGACAGTTTGGACACCAGGAACTGAGTATCTAGAAGATAACATCTGCTGTGGGTCAGCTAATCATGCAACATTCATGGAGCTACCATCAATCCATTCTGGCTTATTAACTCATTTGGGATTGGTGGAACACCTGCTAAGTGTGGGGCTAGACACTGGAGATACAGTTGTACACAAGGGAGACCCACCGCCTGCTTGTGTGGAGGCTAAAATTTAGCTTGAGGGACAGCATCAGACATCTCAGTATGTGGTGAAAACATCCCAGACACGTGTGGGGTGGCGAGGGAAGGCTTCCCTACTTTCATACTGAGGGTCATGACGGAACAGTGTCTGAGGCAGAGGAACCATTTGTGGGAACGAACCCTGTCCCTGCAGCTGCTCTAGAGTACAGAGGGTGCTGACGACTGGAGGGCAAAGAGGAACCCAGAGGAAGGAGGAAGCCTAAGGGTACCTAGTCAGCTTCCTAGAGGGGCAACATTGCTATTGCCAATACCCAGACAAACAGCTGGCTGCCATTCTCCTGCTCCAGGAAGACTGTGAATCCTCAAGGGGCAGGCCAACCGTCCCCAGGAGGAACTTGTCTGGTACATATGGGGGAAAGCCAAGACACTTCCAAAATCAGGAGTAGGGTTTGGAGGGGACTTAACTTCTCAAGGGCAGGAACAGGGATTGGGTTTGTTGATGGCTTTCTGTAGATCTTGTCTAGGAAAGTCTGGTTCCACCAGTGCCATTTAAAAGAAGGAAAACGACTCTTTCTTTCCTTCTTTCTTTCTTTCTTTTTTTTTGGTCTTTTTGGAACAGGGCCTCCCTGTAGCCCCAGCTGGCCTGGAACTCAACTCACTATGTAGACTAGGCTGACCTTGAGCTCACAGAGATCTGCCTGCCTCTGCTTCCCAAGTGCTGGGAGTTACAGGCATGTACCACCACGCCTGGCTGGAAAATGACTATTTCTAAGTAAAAACTGGACTGAGGGCTTAAGACTCCATTTGCTAACAAATTCTCCATGCAGGTACTCATAAGCCAAAACCCTGGGTGGCCTCCGGAAGGTTTGTCAGAGATTGTGGGCAAAAGCAACAGTGGGAGATTGCTCCCTTACCCCAAAGACAAGGCATGCCCTGAAATGTTCATTACTTACTAAACCAGTCCAATCTGAACAGTACACAGTTGGTGTCTTGCACAGGAGTTAATAATTCGAGGCTTGCTGACTTCAGGCAGCTTATTGGGCCC